AAGCTGTCTAGCATTCAAAACCACCAAAACTCACGGTGGTACAGACGTTTTATTTTATTTTTTTTTTCAGTTAGTTTCTGTAAATAAGTGCCTGAAACTATTCATTAGCATTGCTACGTGCAGTCTCAGTGTTTATAGGGCAGCCAAATGGGTGAATTTCACTGCAGCAAACTGCTACAGGAGAGATTAATTTGCACAGAATTGAGTGGAGTAGTCCACTGTCTGCCTTTGCGGTGATGCTTTTTGTCTACATGCCCAACCGTAACCCAAGGCTGCATCGGGAATACTTAGATGGGAAAATCAGATGTATGGGATAAACAAAATGTTTTATTTATAGCGAGAGCATTAATATACAACAGGCTCTGGACTGTGAGTAAGGATGGTGTAATGGCACTCTGGAGTGGCTTGTTCCTCGCTGAAATGTGAACTTTCATCTCTGACAAAGAAGTACTGGAACACTCTCTGAAGTTGGATGCTCTTCCTGAGTCATTACAAAATTGTCTGGCAGTCACTGCAAGTGTTAATTGCTGCAATGAGAAGATAACTTAACCTACCTCTCTAATTAGAGAAAGCACACTGGCCCGAGCAAGGGAAATGGCTGAAGCTTTGCCTAGTTATCTAAAATGGATCCCAAAAGTGAATAGATTAAATTTTTAGTACCTGAACAGCACTGCCTGCTTTTCTTATGCCCATCTACAGCCTTTGTCTGGAGGATACTGGACTTGGAGAAAAGGAGAGGTGTCCTCAAATTGCAAGGAACAAAAGAAAATTGAAATTAAGTAATTTTCCAGACAAGAACTTTCATGCAAAGGTTATTCCAAAGTCTCTAGAGAAGTTCAGGTTTTGTATCGAAGTTGCAAAGCTTTATTTAAAGGTTGTGTAAGCAACTGATTTTTTATAATTCACCCACAAATGCAGCTAATTGATTTTAATTTGGCACACCTTTGCTCAAGGGTATATAGCAAAAGACTGAGAATTATTCTAAAATATTATGCTAAAGATATTACTCACTTCACAAAGTGTTGCAAAATGAGCTTCTTCCCTTTCCCCATAGGCTCACAAAGTTTGCAGAAGCCATCCCAAAAACTAGAGAAGAAGTTGTCAACCTTTTCCCACCACATAATGCAAGGGTCAAACACAAAAATAAAGGGGGTATAACATGAAGAAATATTTATTCTGCATTATGATGTGCTGGTTTTTGGCAGCAGTGGAATTTCAAAGAGAATTACTTTATCTCTAATATGGACATGAGTAATAGATGGCAGAATGTACTGAGACTTATACAGGCAGATTTATGAGGCGTGCCAGAAAACAGTGGCCTGCCGAGTTTATTTAAAGCCGTAGATTCTGAGCAAGTCTGCAGCAAGGACTGGAGCATTCGATGTCCTTCTTGCAGTAAAACTGTCTCAGGCTTGCAAAGGTGAATGTAACACCCCTGACTCCTATCCAGAAGAATCTGGAGCCATTCAGACGCTTTAAAGGCTCCAACTGTGGTTTGAATGTACTTCTTTAGTGAGTAGGTAGCCCTTGGTTTTTGAAGCAAAAGTCTCTTTCTGTAAGACTGCTTGACTTGGTTGTCTGTACAGTGAAACAGAGCTCTATAAAACTACAAACATCATTGCAGTAGATTTTGAAGATGGTTTTCTCACTTTGGTCAAATTTAGACACTTGGCCTCTAGTCCGTTGGCACACTGATGTTTACATCCTCTAGTGAGTAAAACAACAACTTTGTGTGACTCCAAAAACATGCCCTAGGAAAGCATGAAAAAACTTCATCACCCTGAGGAGGAATGCAGTGTTCAGCTGCTGTATAATGAAGAGAGGTGGAACTCATGGTGGAGTAACTGTGCAGTAAAATATTCGGAACTCATAATGTTTCATGGGGCCAATGCCCCTGGGAAGAGAAATAAACTCTTTTCTATGGCAGAGCAATAAATATTTATATATCGTATTGCCCAAAGACCTCCATCAGAAGGGACTGAGAGGGAGCTGAGTTTGCAGAAAAGAAAGAGGTGCAATCCTTCTCTTGCCTTTACAGCCTGAAGATACAGACAGGCAGGGAGGAAGAGCTTTTTCCTATCACATTGGAAGAAATTGGAGCATGGGAGAATTTGCGGGGAATTTGGTAACTATGGGTATTACAGGAATGCTGGTTTTTTCCTTTCTTTGTCTTCACACTGCTTAGGAGTGAATCACATATGATCTGTGAATCAATGCAGATGACAAATTCACAAATTTTAGATTTTGATGGAGAGAACGTTGATTGTAATCAAGGACTTTTCCTGCAGAATCTGGGTTATCCAAGTAACTGCTTAGCCCTGAAGGGCAGAAGGGAAGGACTCACATCTCTCTTGAGCACAGAACATAAAATTTCCCAACTTTCACAAACACCCATTGACACAGTCTCGTCTTAGAAGATCATAATTGGTTGAGGAAAATAAGAGAATCAAAGATTGCAGGGAAATCATTCTCACCCACATGGACTGTGTTAAAGGTATTTTCCAAAAGAACAAGCCTCCTATACTTAAATGTAACACCCACAGCACCTATTCATAAGACACCACATGAAAGAAATGAGTTTCAACTTGATTTTCTACTTTGGGGAGTTTGAGCTATCACCCTAAGACATCAAAGCCGCCCAGCTACAGGCTTCAGTCAGACAAGCGAGGTCTGGAGATTCACAGAGGATCACAAACAACGCATCTCCCATTGCAGGCATGGGTGGAGACATTCTTTGCACATTTAGTGACTCTCAAGTGCTCTTCAGATGTTAATGAGGTTGAGACGTGTGATGTTCATCTAAATTGTTCACAATTTATAGATAGGGAAATTGAGGCGTTATTATAATGAGCAAGATTCCAAAAGTTGATCTCTGATTTTGCAGAGGAAGTTGTTTTCCATCATGAGCCAGGCAAGGTACAAAGATGTCTGGGAGTTTCCAGACAAAATCAGGTCTGGTTTCCTTTTCTATTAAATGCGTAGAATTGTGAACAGCAGAATGTTTTTCAGAAATATATGAATTTAGATGAACTTCTGCTAGAAGTGGTGGCCACTGGAAACCTCTTTGCTTCCTGCCTACAGGCTCCTAAGCAATCCAGATTTCTAGGGTCAAGATTTCCAGAATGGTCCCTCTATATGGACTACCATAGACTTAGGAGACCACAATGTTTTAAGGGTTTTGCATCATGGCTGAGAGCCCAGAAACCCAGGCTGTAGCAGAAGTTTTTGAATATCTCAGTTCTTCATTTGTTCCATAACATGAGAGAGGTCTCACTAAAATCAAGAAGAACGAAAAGACTCAGCTTAAACTTGAAAGGCTTTTGGTCTTCTAGGAGCAGCTCTGTAAGATACAATAAAAACAAGTGTTAGGAAATATTTGTTTAGATAGTCAAGAAGTACATATTATAGTTTTCTTAATTATTTGTAGGGGTTGGAAATACATTTTCTGCAGGGGACTTCAGTATGTGTAGTTTTTTTAATCATTGATGGACAAAAATTTGAAATACAAAAATTGCTCTGCAGGACAAAAATATTCCATTCCAGTCTTCTCTTCCCTGTTCCTTCTCAGCCTTTATGGAGATCTGGGTTTCCTATTTTTTCCTTTATGTAATGACCAACTTTGGAAAACCTAGGACATTGAAAATGCTGGAGACAAAAAATATAAACCCAAATCACTAGGAGTGCCTCTTTCACCTCTAGAGATGTGCATGAGATCAGTATGAGAGACAAGTCTGAGAGGCCAGAGAGGACCCAAGGCTGCACTGAAAATACAAGAGTTGGGACTTGGAGAACAGAAGACAAAAGCACGTAGCAGCCAGCAGCCTTCCCTGTTTCTAGAAGAGACACTCAAGATGGATTAATCCTCAGATCTGGGCAGGAAGAAATGGACACACACCAGGGGCTATTTTTGAAAATGACCAAAGCTTACAAATGCCAAAAGAAATAGCCAGATGGACCCCAGTTCCAGGGATGAGGTGCCTGGCAGGAGGATAGGAGGAGGGGCTTGCCATTACCTTGGGTGGCTTAGGGGAGAGTCCATCTATGGCAATTGGGGCTTTATTATATGTGTGGGAATATTTATCACTCTGAGCGAAACACTATCCACATTTCTTCCTGGCAAGATGTTATCCTTTTCTGAGGTGCAGGAGAGAGGCTTTCAGCTTGCAGGCTTTAATGATAAGCAAGTACAATTCAAAGGAGAATTGTAAATTGAAGTCTACTCCAAAACACTTCTTAAAACCCTGAGTCATTAGCGGCTGAATCACATTATTCCTGTCAGCAAGATCTCTTCTCTAACATCATCCTCTATTTACTGTGCATTACCTCATGGTCCTGGTCAAACTGTGCAGCTTTTACACAAACATGAAGAATCCTAGTCATCAGGATGAGTTTGACATGATGCAAGCTTTATTTTCTGATGCTAGTTAGAAAGCGACAGTCCCAGTCCAAGGATTTACTTAGGCTCGGTCCACACACAAAAAGCTTTTCCTAACAAGCAGGTTAAATAATAAGCCTTGCTTTCTGTTTTTCACATTTGACTTATTTGCTGAAGCTCATGGCTGTCTGTTACAAGGGCAGTTCTAAAAGTCAAAAGGTTACAGAATAAAGCATCACCCTTAAAAATTCATCATTTATCTGTCGAACAGTGACCTCATGGTGACTCTCTCTCAGCTACAAAGCCATTGATTGCATGGCTCTTCATTCTCCTTCTGTAAATCCTATAAACAAGCCCCTTTGAGATGCCGGAAGAAAATTTAACACTCAACTCTTGTCACATATTATAATAATGATGTGATATTAGATTAGTTATTAGACTAATTACCAAGTATTTAGCTCTTTCCAAAAGTTCAGCATATAAGATTAGGTAATATATCATCAGAAAAATACATTATCTGGTTAATTTTCAAATGTTTTAAAATTTGTTTATGAAATGTACACTTATCTAAGTATATATAACTTTAGGTTTACCAATATGGCAGGTATTATGTTAAGGAGATAAGCTTCTCTGATCCAGATAGGTCTATGAATTGTAGTTCCTTTAGGCATAGAGCTCTAGATCCTGGAAAGGCATAGGATTAGGAAGTTTAAGCAAGCTGAAAGATAAGGATCAAAGTTAAATCAAGAGTTACTTCGGTTCATTTGTTTCAGTGATTAGAGAGACCATATTATTAAAATAGTGAGTGAATTGTTTAGTGCCGTGCACGACACAACTGCTCAAAGGGCAGAATTAAGCATAAAAAGTTTAGGAATTAAAAATTAAGCCTTTGCTGAAAGAAAATACTCAACCCTCTATAATCAAACATCTATATTTACAGCCTGGATGGTGACAGACTTCACTGACGAGATATTTTTCTTCAGCAGTACTCCTGAGGGACCCGAGGGCCAAGCTAGACTCTTTTCTTCTCAGACATCACTTTCTGCAGAGGAGGTTCTTTAAGCAAAACAGACCTTTGCATGACAAAAGGTGGGGTGCAGCCTTGTCATCATTACTGCATCCCCTCTCTTCTCCTTAACGCCTGTTATTTCTGGGTATGGGTTTGGGACTGAATTCCAAACCCTGATATGAGTTCATAGGATATTTGCTAACAATAGCACACAGTTCATAGCGTTGCTGAGACAAAGCCTATGTCCCAGTCCAGTTTGCAACCACATTGCAGGCAGACCCTTATTCTGACCAGCCTCTTAACCAGGAAAGTTATTATTGGAATTGAACTTTTCCCTGATTGCAGTCAAAGCACTCCTGAGGCGTCTGGGAGATAAAATTGCGAAGAGTAGTCTTGCCGGCTCTACAGTTTGCAAATTACAGTGCTGGAGCTACTCTATCAATTCAGACAGCAGCTGGCCTCTGGCAATATTTTTTTCCTTCAGATTAATTAACATTTCCCCTCAACCCCCTGGTTATAGGCATGATCATAAAATCTGTGCATGTTAGCAGGAGTTGCATCAGATACTGTTCACCTAGCCAGCTCTATAGCAGTGATTTTCTACCTCTGCACAGTCTTTACAGATGTTTCTGAGGGGTGAGAGACTTCATTGCTGAAAATGAGAATGGTCAGATCTTAAATGACCAGGCTGAAAGCCTGTCAAATTGTTCAATTTCCCTAAAAATTTGTCCCTTCTGCGCTAATTATGCTTTCATAAGAAGCAAAGCTCTTATCCTATACAGAGTCAAATTTCATTTCAGAAGCCAGGAACAGCCTCCTATCAACAATACCAGGTCACAATTTCACAGGCTGCTTAAGGGAAAGCTTACCTTCTATTTCTCCACCTCACTGACAATATAGATCTCAGCTACTTAGGCTGACAGCAAATTTGCTGTTAGGGAAGCTCCTTATTTCAGTAAGGCCTTGTTGGATTATGGCCTCACTATTCTTTAAGATTAATTTTTCTTATTTAAAAAACCTTATCCCCATATTACGGAGAAATACTCCTCTTTCAACAAGGTGTGAGATCATGATGCAAGTGTATAATCTGCAGAGTAATTTCCATAGTCTCTTTTAACCATCAGTTTGATAATATTAAGTAGTTCCAGTAGGAATCCTCATGGACAAAACTTGTTGTGACTAAGGTTTGCAAGTAACAAAACTGCTGCAAAAACAGGCTTACTTGTCAAATTTCTACAGAATCATCTCCTTCAACACAGCTTTGACTTACTCTCACACAGTACTGAATCCTAAAAAATTGTAATTAAACAACTGAGAATGTTCACCATTTGAATTTTTAGCCATTGTATTGATTGAAGCTGATGATAACCTTGAAAACATAAAGTATTTCTAGCTCTGGAGGGACCAGATATTGGACATAATGATTATATGCATTGCCTCAAATTGTATGATGATGTTCAGTCTGCCTCTAGCATTATATAACTGTTCTTTACATCGGTGTGTCATCCTTCCCTTCCTATTACTTTCCCGTGACTTCTAGATGCATTAAATTAGTAGAAAAACCTGAGTAAAACTTAGGGTGTGAAAACCAGGTACACAGATATCATGTATCACCTGCAGAGATACCTACACTGGCCAAGCTTAGTAAATCTCTTGAAGGCCCTTGATAAATAACAGCCAGAGGGTTTGCTAGAGAAGAAGTCAAGAGACAAAGCCTGTCTCATTTATTAATGAAATGTATTCACTATTTGGCTGCATTAAAAAAACCCACCAAAACCAAAACACTGAGGGCAACATAAACCCTATACTCATGAATAGGTCAGTATCAAAGATCATCTGTAGATCAAAACCTGGAAAATGCAAAATGTTCAGATTAGTATGCAAAATAAAACATCAATGTGGAGAGTGGATTTATATGATTATACTATGAATAATTCATTAGCACAAGAAATACAATTAGCTTTTAAAAATGATCTAACTACTACACTCATGTTTAGCAAATCTAACATACAGTAACATCAGGAGATAAATGTCCATAATGTAAAAGAAATTAAAAAAAATTCCTTTAGGAGTCCAGCTGCCTTATTACTAAGGGGGAAAAGGGCAGTGGATTAGACGGGTTAGATCATGCCCAGAGAGGTTAACTTGCCTGTAGTCAATACCCTTGCATTTGCAGGTGTGCCCTCAATTGACCCTATTAATATGTACAACCCTTGCTGGAAACCTTATTTCAGAAACATTAAGCTCTGGTTGTTTGAACTGGCTCTGATTATGGTGAAACATTCCTTAAATTTGTAGGGGGCTTATTTGGTGGGAGGATGCAGAAATATTTTTCACGGGGGAAGCTTTTCTGTACTTCCAGTAGAGAGAAATCAGAGGGCTGAATCAGACAGAAGATAATCGATGCGATAGCTGGCATACTAAATCAATACATTACTGGCAACTGGAGCTAGTTTTAGCTGAACCTCTGCTTTTCAGAGCAATCACTCCAAGTCCTGACTTAGTCATTTTCAAGATGAAATTGTGACAGGCTCTTAATCTCTGTGGTGCTGGCTTGATGTTCGCCAGCCTGATCCCAACAGTGATTTCCTCGAGGCTGACTTCTGTCGCCTGATGCTGCTCAAGGAGTGAGCAGAGCAAGCACAAATGGACAGGAGCTTGCCTTCTAGTTGGTGTTTTGTTTCTTCCCTCTGCCCTATTTCTGCAGATGGTTTCTGCAAAGGAACACAGACAGTGCTCACCTACCCTTTGGTGTTTTAAAAGTATTGTGTATTTGTAATAGTTGTTCTTTCAAGAACGAAGAGTGCCACCACTAAGTGACATTATGAACGAGAAGCCAAAAGCTGATACAACAATTCAAAACCGTACAAATTAAAGTCAATTGTCAAATGGATGTTCCATTCCATTAAAACTGTCAGGATTGAAAAATTTTGACATATAAAAGATCATATTAAATATTCACATTAAATTAAGTGGGGACAACCCTAAAAATATAATCCAAACAGTGTGCAAAATTAAGTTCTGAAAATAATTACTTTCCCCAAAATGTTTAAATCCAAATATGTTGACATTTGGGTCCTTCCTTGGATCCTTTTGTTTTCTATTTCAAATGCCAGATTTTTATTTTGTTTTAATAAAACAAAACATTGTGTGCATAATATGTCGAAAACAAGGCATTGTTTTGCTGTGGTGTTCTTTCACTTTTCAATTGTTACTGCTATCATTCTATTATTATTACTATTATTTATTCAAATAACATCAGTTTTTATTGTCTATTCAAATTGCCATAATTGGATTTTCCAAGGAAAAACATCTTTAATGAAAGCTTTCAGACGACATCACTGTAAATTAACCATTACTGTTCTCCTGGATGGATTAGGAACAGGTATAGCTGTCATAACATGATCACTAAGTTCTGTTTAAAAATACTGTTGCTATGAGGTGAGTGCCTAACCCCAGATGCACTCATTTAACACAGACCTTCCTGCTGAATAACCACAGACTTTTGAGCTTGGCCTTCGAACAGTTTGGATGCTTCTGCACACCCAAGGAAAGGAGAGCTAGGGGACAGAACCTGGCACAAAAGGTTGAGCAGCACTGACTGGCTCGCTCCTGAACTTGTTAGGGCTGCTGGCCCGCCACAGCAGACTGGCTGTTCCATCACTTCCCAGTGCTTGGTCCTCTGTCTTGTGCCCTGTGGGTGCCTCTCGTGCCTAGGGCTGACTGGGACTGGGGACACCGATTCAAAGCATGAGAAGCAGTGCCACAGACTACCCAACTGCTGTCTTTATCCTGGGGCTGGGAGGGTGCTTTGAGTGCCACTGCGTGGTTGTATGTGAGTGTGTAAAGATGCAGCAGAGGACTGTGTAGGGTGGAAGAACTCAGACTCGATGCAGTGTGGTCCTTGCCATCTGTTAGCCAAGGTCACCGAGGTGAGCTACCTCCCAAAGAGAATCCAAACTGTCCCTCGGGCACCAGCCTGAGGCCTGTGTTTAGCTGCTCCCTGGCCCTCTTTTACTCAGCAATATAAATCTTGTACTCTGGGCAAGGCCCAGGTGTTAGAAAATTTAGTTAGTGGGAAGAAGTGTCTACATGTCTTCCTTTTAAAGAACATAGATGAGGGCAAAGGTATCACTACATGCACATCACACTGTGCCTTTATTGCCCAAATTTTGTCCCTCTGTATTAGAAATCTCTGTCTACAGAAAAGCAGCCGGCGCAGTGTTGGTGGCAGTCTTTGTTTGGCACATGGTGTTCACTGTTGCCTGTTTGTGTTGATGTTTTTGTTCTCACTCAGCCATGGGAAGGTGCCTCCATGTTTGCTGCACTGATGTCCCGTACTGTCATTTTGCCGTATTCAGCGCTGGGAACAGCTCTCTCTGCACCCTCTTCCCAAAGAACGCTTGCAAATGGCATTTCAGAGCCACATTTGCAACAGCTCCATCTTTTTCATCCCAGGGGCTACTCCTGTTCACACCATTTCCAGACTCTGTTGCAAGAACAGATATAGTGCTATTCAGCAATTGTACGTCTGTCCAGTTTAAAGAAAGCACCTGATAATCAAGTTGAACTCCTGGAACAGAATGCCTTTTCTAATTCTGCATCCACTTCAGTGTGTGTCACCCATAACTGTACACTACAGCTGTGACTTTGCCTTCTACAGGCACATCCTAACAACCTATTGGCAGGAGGAGCTGTGAACTCACCTGAAGTGCGTTTTCTCTTAAGATTAATAAGGCGTTATTCATGGCAAGTTTTTACTAGAGCTGCTGATGTAGCAGTTTTGGAAGAGTAGCTGAAGATATGGGATGGAGTTATCCTTAAATGCTGCATAGTAACTTCAAGACTGGAAGAAGGACACAAAGTTCTGTGACCCAGATTTTGCATTTGAAGACGTAAAGGCAGCTAAGTAACACAGACGTAATGAAGAGAAGGCACAGCAAGGAGAATTTAGGCAATTTGATCATAATTCACGATCACCCACACAAGGATGAGATTTCTGATAGCAAAGCTCTTTTATCTAGTAGGAAAAAAAGAAACATCAAGGCATGCAGTCACTGGAAGCTGAAGCTTGGTAAACATGGGCTGTGAGAGGCATTTTATTTTATTTATTTTATTGTATTGTAACAGAGCATTAATGACTAGTAGAGTTTACATAGGGACATTGTGGATTGTTTGGTGAGTCTGTCCCGGCAGTGACTCATACCATGGTCCTTTCCTCCTGACAGAGTTTTCCACATCCAGGCTCCTGCCTTTAATGCACTCTGATATGTAAACAATAACTCAACATTTATCCAGTAACTGTGCTGCACATGTATGAATTTTAATCAACCACTGACACACTTACTTGAAGTGAAACAAATGAGCGGAGTTCACAAATGAGGTTTTTCCTTAGAAAGGATTTTAGACTAATATTAATATTCAGTCCCTCTCTAGGATTCTTGACATCAGCTGTGTTTTAACACTTGTATGGCTGCCTTGAGCCTCCAGGATTGCTTTCTATGGCTCAAACAGGGAGCCCATTGTGCTAAGCATAAAATAAAGAGCCACCCCTTTTGAGAGCTCACAGTCTAAGGCAGAGAGAACAAATGGCTGGTAAATGAGGCTAAACTAAGTTTAAACTGCATTCAGCAAGGTAAGAAGCACTGTTGATATACCAGTTAACTAGCTAGCTGTTTGGGCCACATAATTGGAACCTATTCCAAAGATGTGACAGATTTCTGTATATAATATAGTCTTCTCAATTTGGATCAGATTTTCTTAAAAGCTGTGCCTGGTTTGTCAGCTAATGCAATTTTCCCTCTTTCCCCCCCTGCTGCCCTGGATCACTCCCTCATCAAGCTCCCCTCAGGTAAAGGGCTTTGTGCCTTTGATTATTTTATGGCATTTGCTGTAGCCCAGTTTTCATCAGAAGTCCTTCCCAGCAGACTAACAGCCCCATGAATGAAATCAGCAGGGAGGCTCTTCATTATCACAATTCTGGCAGTGAAGTCTCTGTACTTTTATCACTGTACTGGTATCAATTATTTGGAGCCACATTAAATAAATGAAGTCAGTAACATGAATATGTCATGCTCAATTCATACAGAGGCTCCTGAACTCTCTTTAAAGAAAACCTCTCTTTTTTGCCTGCTGCTTCCCTTATGAATTTTTTGTAAGCTCTGACCTTAGACATTTCTCAATCATTGCAAGCATGCTTGGTTCAAGATTGAATACACATCCATTTTATATGGGTTGAGGGGGGCAAAAATCATGAGAAAAGCAGATGGCATTAGAAAAAAAATGACTCTTCAAAGAAGGTTCAATGACCTCCATATAGATATGACATGTTAAAGTCACTGACTTCTTTTTAACTCAGCACTTGTGTATATATATTTAGTATTATACAATGTACTTGTAAGGGCAAAGACTCTTCAGCATTCGATCTACAATATTTATTGTAGAGTTCTGACTCACCTTCCTTGGGTGTTGCCCAGAGTCACCATAATACCAGTAATGACAATGAAATGGGGCTGAATTGGCCAGTGCCCTTTGGTTGCTCAGTGGGTCACAGCAGCACACTGATTGAAGTTTTCTGCAACTTAAAGACAGTCTTTCTTATTTATTGATTCTTCTGAATCAGAATTCAGGCTTGGCAAAGCCTATTTAAAAAAAAAAAAAAAAAGACAAAGAAAAAGAGAGAAAGAATTAAGAACTCCTGGGATTTGGAGAGTATTTTTTCTAAAACGTTTCTAACCAAAATTAACATATTTTGGTCTTAAGTAATAAAAGAAATTTAAATCTCTGATTCATGGACTATTAAGTTCAGACACCCTAAAGCCAGTTCATTTGGCCTGCAATTTAACTGATCTATTTAAACAGAGTTGGCAAAACACAGAACTGTGATGGGAAAGGAGATTTGTTGAATACTGCTTTGCACATACTCAAAATAAAAAAACCCTAGAACCTTTGAGCTTACTGAGAGTAGAATTACACATAGATGCAAGGAGCAATGGGTAAATGCTTTGTGGGAGTGTTTGCAAACTATGAAACTCCAATTCAGCCACATTCGAACATGTTTCAGCCTCTTCTCCGCTAACATTAATCAGAGGGGCTTTTGTTCAAAGGAATGTTGGAGAAAGTGTATTCTAAACTCTAATGCTCTTCATTCAAACCTGCCTGAGAAGTGTTTTCTCTGCTTATAATTCAGTCAACCTGGCAGCTGAAAGGATGGCATGTTTCTTAGGTGGCCAATTACACACCTAAAATAAGAAAGAGTGAATAGGTAGAAAACATAATTAAAATAAACACAGCTTGTAAATAAGCCCAGTCAGAATACAGCCTGGTGAAATGGTTATGCAGCCTGTGCCCCATGTTACAATTTGCATAGATGTGTAATTACTATGAGCTTTACTTCTGCTGAAATTTACAGGGAAAAATCCCTGTAAATTTGCTGTTACAGACCAAGACAAAAGCATTGGCAGTCAGGATTTTGAAGAGAGTGCATGGAATTATAACTGTGTGCAAATATGAGCAGGTGTTTGCATCCTTGCAAAACTAAAGCCACCCTCATTAAAAAAAACTCAGTAACTTACAAACAAACAAAAAAGATTCCCAGTTTTTGGAAATTTATCAGAAAAAAAAATGGATGTGAGGGTTGGAATTCAGGTTAGAAACATGAAATCAGTGATGAGTAAAAAGAAGAAAATTAGTTGTCTCTTGGAACCCTTGAGTTTGAATGCTTTTTTGTTTTACTTTTAGCCAATTTTTTAAACATAAATTGAACAAGGAAACCCAACTACTCAAGTATCACCTCTGAAAAAAATTAACTGCCAAGTCAGCAACAGGAATAATTTAGAAGTTAGTATTACCTGAGAATTTCCAAACAGACCATACCAGATGTCAATGTTCTTTGATCAGGAAGCAAAACCAAAGCACAGAGAGGGTGTTAATCTCAGTTTCATGTCATATAACAACGAACTGGAAGAGTTTGAAATAAGAGGCAGCAATCCTGTATCCCAATCTACCATCCTTGTCTCTCTCCTGTAATGTAAATATACAATACTTTCACAATGAGCATTCCATCATGACTTAAGCCATTTCTGATTGCCTTAACCCTGCAAAAGTTGCCCAGCCCCATTGAAGACATCAGTGCAAAGCTTTTCTGGTTTGGTGGTTTTCTTGACATTTTCTTTGCATGTGTTGTCCAGTAAGATGGGCATGGGAGAGGCAGCAGTCCTTCATCTAATGTGCATTCCTGGCATCATGTTATTTCATGAAGACTGTCACATTTATACCCACAGTGACAGGAGAAAATGGTATTGTGCTGCTGTTCAGCAAAAGAGAAAGCAGAAGACAGATGGGTCAGGTATGCCGCTCACTCATCAGAAATTGTCTCTCAGTTTGGACATATTTCCACACATTCCTAAACTGTTCATTATCATTTTCCTGTATGATTGCCCTGCAAGTGCTTGTCATCACTGCAGGGGCAACCCTGAAATCAACCTTTTTTGAAATCTATGGATTAAAACAAACAATCAGATAAATGCAATGCCATGTATTAAACATGAAATGACACATCTGACTGTTGGTAAGGGCAAAAAGAATTTCCAGAAGACCTTACTGCAGTGCAGGCTGCCACCTCCATTTGTTTCTGATTGCTATCACACTGCACAGATGCAATGATTGAGAATGAAACTCGAATTTGGTGCTAGAAGTCCACTGTAACATCAATCACTTGAAATAAAAATGTCATGCTTATGATTCTTTGGAAAATGCTGCACTTAACTTCCAAACTGTTGCTTTCAGAAAAGGCTAATTCAGGGTTGGGTACATTAATGTCAATGTCCTATAAAAGTGCCAGCTTAAAAAAAAAAAATGTCAGCAAAGACATTTTTTAAGTCTGTGTCAGCACAAAAGGGTGCCTCAGTTGTTTCATCTCACAACAGCTGCATGCTTTCATTGACATTTGTTGCCCTTTCTTTGTGCACTCATCCTAACCTCATAGGTTATTTCCTGGCCTCCCTTCCATGACCTATGACCGATGATGACCTTTAGCTGGAGAATGTGACATTTTGTTCTCCTCTGGCTGACATGTGATGCCCTCATTATTCAAAGGTATGTGAAAATAATGACCTGTACTGACCTCTCAGTTTCCTTTCGTTTATTGGTCTACACTAGGTGCTTGTTCAGCAGATTGCTATGACTAGGTGGTGGGGTGTACAATTTCTTTTGAAGAAGGAAGCTCATGAATTGCACCAACATTTTAGCTCTTTGTGTCTGTTGCTCCATTTGAGGAGCAGGAGGTGAGGTGGTGCAGCTGGGGGAAGAGGGTTTGGGGTTTGCAGTTCAGTTCAGTGTAGGTGTCAGGAGCATCTTGCAAGGCTGGCAGATCCAGCCAAAGACTGGGGGTCTCATGGAGGGGCAGTTCAGTCCCAGGCTGGACACCTACCTTAGGGCATCTCAAATGGCACAGAATACCAGTACACGAGGTACTGGCTCAAGTCGTCAATTCTCAGGCATCAGAAAGAATGGATGACTGAGTAACCTTAGAAATTCAAAACAGGAGCGAATGTAGCTTTCCCATCACCAAGATTTCTACACCTTCCCAGCTGTGACCACCGTGGCAACACGGTTGCAGTTATGGGAAATACAATATTAGTCTAACATGCTAACGGTTCTTTCTTGGGTTATGTTGCTTTTTGCATTTCAAATGCTGGAAGTTTCAGTGCTCTTCAGAAATGCAAGCCTGAACACCTGAATTTTTTTTACGAGAAGTAGATTTTATCTCCTGTGAGGTGAAACATGCCCTCAGTGACTATAGTAAATATTTCAAATGCTGAAAGTCTAAGGGAGGAATAAACCACTTCTGTTTGGGAGACTGTGATACCAAGTAAGAGTTTATTCCAGACCCAGTCAGCATGAATATTTAAACCCCCCTTTCCTTGAAGAAAAGATGGTTACTTCAGGTTAGGGATGAGGGCATGTATGAAGCAGCATAAGGAACAGATGGCTGCTAAAGACAATTTCTGGTTATAAATAGTCCCTATTAAGAATATAGAAATAATAAATTAGAGACTAAGCTCTGCTTCCTGTTGCACAGGAGCAGAGCAGCAGCAAAAATATGTTAACATATATGTCAGTGTGTGTTGCTGACAGGGGAAGAGGTAGCAGGCCCTTTCCCACTGAAAGGTGGGAAGCTGCATTGGGTCTGCAGGCTAAGATAGAAGATTATCAACAGCTGTTTGGAAAAGGTCTTGGGCATTTGGTATGCGGACCAGGAAACGTATTGGAAAATCAGAATCAAGACTTTGACCTTGTCTCAGCACTCTGTGCAAACTAATGCAGAAGCTGGTGGAAAGGTTCTGGTAACAGCCTGTATGGGTAAACAGAGAGCATTCCCCACCACCCGCAGGTTGTGAAGAACTTCATGTTGGAACATGTCCACTAAAGGTGCAAAATGTACTAATAACTGATGCCCAGACATCAACTTGCAAACTTTGAGGTTCGACCTGGACATCTGGGCCAAACATTCATTCTTGAACTATAATCCTGCTAAATTACCCATTAAAAGTTCAGGCTGACGCTTAGACAGCGCAGTGTGGTGGGAAAGGGGCTCTAGGTTTAGATTAGGGATAGACTGGATTTGGGTTGAAGTGTTAGTATAATTTGATGAAGAAGAGTATTTTATTTATCCTGGTAGAAAATGCTACATAAATGACCTGACTATGGATATGATTTACTGGCTGTAGACATGTCTTCATCCAAGGAAACATAGCTGAAAATTTTTGAGCACGCTGTCCTCTGTCCACCAATATCACCTCTGTCCTGCTTGGACTCAGTTTTGCTGCAGCAGTCCCAGCAGCAGGTCTGGGCAGAAGGCTGAAACTCAAGAATGGCAGAAAGAAATGGTATTTGTGATACATCATCACATCTGTTCCACTGGTCATTTCATGAATGCCCCTGGCATTACATTTCTGAGGGCCAGCTACTGATGGATTAGTTGAAGGAAAATTAGGAACATATAAGTGGATCATAGCTGGTGCCAGGCGGTCCTCCTGTCACTGACCTGACAGTGCTCCAACCCCTGTCACCAAGCAGGGCTAGTACATGAATCCTGCTGTTCCCCTTTGGCTGACAGTAATTTTCAAATAGCTCTCACATGGAATGCTTTTAAAGGATTCAGCTAAGGAATGGGCACGCTTTTATGTGTGACCCAAGACCAGATCAGACATCAGATTGCTTACCAGCAATCATATAAATGAACTAACCCACCGTGGCAATCTAACTCTGGAAGGCCTTGCAGAACTCTTGTAGAAATACATTTACCAAGTGCCCAAAAGATTGTGACATGGGAAATCATGAGTTGTTTTTGACTGTTTTGCCAAGAAAGCCAACTTTTTTATATTGCACAAATAGGAGCTTAAGAGATAGCACTACAGTGAATGTTTAAACCAAGACCAAGTTTAAACTTTGTTGTCTTTGTTTTTCCTCAGAAGCACAGTCTCAGAATTATTCTATTTTTCTTCCCCTCTGTCTCATTTGCCTCTCATTGTTCAGGAGCTCATAGGGTTTCACTCCTCCCAAGATCCATAAATCAGATGATTAACTTTCAGTCCAAGCCTGTTTTATATGAGCAGAAGAAAT